GTTACTTATAATATTCAGAACTTATAGTTAGAAAAGTTAGGCTTTCTAGTTATACAGAGATGTATTTAAGATAGATATTCTTCAAACCTTTCAAAGACCTACAGAAAATGTGGTATTTAAATGGTTTAAGGTTTTTCATGATAGTGAGACACAGCTGCTCTTGACATACCAATTATGTCTGAGAGGAAGATGGGCATTGAAGAAACTTGTTATGGAGTTTGCTTTCAACATGGCAATATTAGCCATTTGGGCAAGAAACTGCTCTTGCCTGGACTGTTTAACTGTTGCTGTATAAACTGGACATGCAGGACCCACAGGAAAGTGACTGCTGAACTTGGACAGTCCTACAGGGTTCCTGCTTCATGGAAGAGTCTGCCAGCATTCTGTAGGACACAGAAAAATGACTGACAAACTGCCAATGCAGATGAACAGTTTAAAATTTCCTGCTTTGCTGAGAAGTCTTCCAGACACACTGTGGCCTATGGGCTGAAGATGGATGCCCCAATGTTACAGAGGAACTTCCGGGTTACTGTCCCGGTAGCAAGATGTCTCTGTCAATTCTAGAGTTTGTATATTATCCTTTTGTGGTCTTTGATGGAGTTGAAGACAACTAGTTATAATTATGGTTTTCCTTAGTTATGATAAAAATAAGTTACATATAAGACTTTAGACTCACACAGATAAGTATAGATGATCAAATACTTTCTTTCAATCTTACTAAATGTTAATGGACTAAATAATTGTAACTATAGTTCTTACTTGATAACTGTTCTGTTATATATAATTTGACTATGTTAAAGTTAAAACCTTTTTATTTAGAAAGAAAAGAGGAGATGATGGGGGAAATCCTTCTGTGTATATGTTGTCTTATTGGTTGATTAAATAAAGCACTGTTGGCCAATAGGGAAGCAAGATAGGTGGGACTAGGAGTGGAGGAGGATTCTGGGAAACAGAGGCACAGTCAGTCACGATGTAGGACACCAGAGGAGTAAGATGTCCGGACCCTTTCTCTGGTAAGAGAAGACCACGTGGAAATAATCAGATTAGCAGTTATGGGTTAATAATTAAGTTAGAGCTAGCCGATAAGAAACCAAGCAAACGGCCAACAGCTTCATAATTAGTATAGTGTTTCGTGTGTTATTTGGGGGCTGAGACAGCTTCAGGAACCAGGCAGCTGGCAGGAAGACTACACGTTACAGGGTGTGAGTTCTCTCTTCTATTGTGTATTTCTTGTCTTTCATTGTTGGTTGTTTTTGATTACTATTATCTGTGTACTTAAGAGTCACTGTCATCCTGTTTATGAATTCTTTGTGTAGTGAAGTCCTAGATAAAGTGAGGTAGTTGCTTCTGGGTGTAAAAGCGCTCCAGCAACTGTTGGCTTTTCAGAAGACCTTGGTTAATCTCACCATATACCCCAACATCAGCCATCTCTGCTTCACATGACAAAAGTCATCAAACCTGTTTCCTAATGTCTGGCCTAACGAGGGATGCAGACCTTGAATCTGTCTCACATTCTTGGTTGTTCTAGACCTCTTCTATTAGTACTGTGCAGTGCTTGAAGGCCTAGCCAACCTGGAGACATTTTTGTTGTTTATGAATTTGCATATTTTAGACGTTTTCCACTAAGTCCTGATCTTTTTCTGTTGTTTCTAATGTATTATGAAATCTAATGCATAACATTAAATGTATCTTATTCATCATATATTAAGTTCTCTTTGGAGGTAGACAGGGCACAAATAGGCAACCGGAAATCCTGTAATGGTGCTTATGTTTTCTAAATGGCACTATATGCACATTTTATTTTAAGATGAATGACTGAAGATACATTATATGTTCAGAATTATGGACTCAATTATAAGTAAGATTTTTTTCAGAAGTTGCAAATGATGAAAATTCAAAACAGCTGTGTGCTTTGGGGAGCGGCATGCCTGTAATCTTAGCATTAAGATGTCTAGTTCTGAACCTCTTGAATTCCATGACAGTCTGATTTACATAGGGAGCCCCTATTTAAAGACAAAACATTCTGACAGAGCCCAACTCTGAAGAAGTGGTAGGGATACTATTGTTTGTCTCCAGTCTAGAAGAGATGAATCATCTGTGAGAGCCCAAACTAAAACAGTGCACTTCCTCTAACCACAGTGCTGGGACAGTACAATGACACCTTTCTTCTTCTTCTTTTCCAGTTTGAAAGAACAATCATTATTTTCTTCATTTACACACAAATAATAAAAACTATTTCTATTATAAGCAGCCATTTATCTTCATTCCTACTCTGTATGTATTTATTCATTCTGTCTCATTAAATTCTGATGCTTTTCAGAACTCCTTGGGTATGTTGTAATTTCACCATCTGGGATACATCAGTCACAAAATACATATACATTGTAATAAAAATTGATGCTTCATCGGATTTCCTTGGCGATTCTCCATCTTAAAACATCCTTGTTCTATTCAACAATGGGACTATATAATATTTCAACTCAAGAATACTGTATTTTCTGATTTTTTCAAAACCTGCTGCAGTATAACAATTTAAAAATAATGCACATGGAATGCATATACTTAGTTGGATCATGAATTTCATTTGAAGGCTATTGATATCTCTAATATACTGGATTAAGTTGTTAGCGACTCTGCAGGTCTTGGTGGTCCCTTTAATAAACTCATTTTAACTAATAATATTTGTTATAAATGAAAAAAATTTTAAAAATTGGATATTTTAAAGAGACCGAAAATTTCATGTGTTTGAATTTATAAAGGCTGTAGAAATTTTAAACTTATTTATGATTTTAATGTGAGATCTTGGGGATTAATAAGAAAGGAAGGGTTATGGCTTAATAGTGATGTGCTTGTGTGTCAAGTTTACAAGGGGTCAGTAGTACTGGATGGCTTTGTGTGTCAACTTGACGCAAGGTAGAGTCATCAGAGAGTAAGGAACCTCAGCTGAAGAAATGCCTCCATGAGATCCAGCTGTAAGGCATTTTCTCATTTAGTGATGAATGCTTATTTCCTCATTTTGAGATGGTTGACATTTCTTAGTATTATTGTATGATGGCAAGCCAATGGGAAAGAAACTACATGCTCTCTGTTGTTTCTATTTGTAAGGCCACTAATTTTATCATTCGGGCTGTACCTTATTCATGGCGAGCTCCCAAAGGCCCCACCTCCCAGTACATCATGTTTCAACACATGAGCAAATCCTTAGAGGAGTTATGAGCACCTGCTAGGCCATGGCAAACAGCACTAAACTAACCGTGTTTTGTGTCATTGTGTTTTCTTCAGCAAAAAGGAAACTGCTGAATTGGACTCTAATATACTGTATTAATTCCTAAAATTTTAAAGACTTATTTAAAAGTCCCTTTGAACAGACTTTGACTTGCAGTCTTACATCTCACTTTGTATATGTAATAAGCAAACTAGAAATGAAGGGAGTTGCCTAAGGAGTTCTTCACTTGATTTTAGCTGAAAGGCCAAGAAAAGCAATAGTAAGGGAATTGTAAAGCATCTTAGTATGTGGAAGTACTTTTGGGCTGTCGAGACAGCTCTATTGGTAAAGGGCCGCTGTGGAGGCAGGAGGACATGAGCTCAGCTGCCCAGAAGCCACATAAAGAGCTGGACATGGAAGCTACACCTGTATCCCAGCGGGGGAGGATCCCTGGGGCTTGTGGGCCACCCAGTCAGTGAGAGATGCTGCAAGTAAGACCGAGAGCGAGAATGTACCCATCATAAACTTACACGGGATCCTGAGCTTGAGGCTGAACTTTGGTAGCCACTCAGTATTTGCTCCATTTTAAACTGCATGGTTTTTTAAAATTATCTGATTCAATATGCTAAACTGTGAAATGAAACTTTAAAAAGGCTCAGTAAAGCAAAGGTGATTAGCACAGCCTTGCCTTTGTCAAGGCCTCTAAAATGTGAGTCACCTAGGTATGAGTAGGGGTGCATTTAAAGTGTCTGCATTCTTGTGATGACTTGGTCATCTTTTCTATCATTATACATTCTGGATGTTCCCGTAAGCTTGAAAGCAAGCAGAATGTGCGAGAAGAGGAAACAGAAGCAATAAGACTCTATTTTGAAGAGAATTGAGGATTTTATAATCTGCATTATGAATTCTATTAGGCTGGATAAAAATGTATCAAATACAAATTACCAAGAGGTTTAAGTTAGATGCAATTGAAACTACCACCAAGTAATAATGACATTTTCTTAGTGTTAATTTATCTTCTTAGTATTATCCACTATGGGACTGAAGTTCCTAAGAAAATCTAGAAACTTTATCTACCATTTAAAAGTAATCTTTTAATCCTCTTCTGTTTTGTAATAGGCATTGTAGAGGATTTTCACAAGCTCTCCAGTCCTGCTGCAGACATAGAGGGCTGTCTGCTCTGGAATGGGCTGCTTGTTAAGATGGGCAGGGTCCAGGGCAGCCAACCGATACTAATGACTGCTGTCTTTCATGCCCCCCAACTCTGCTTGCATTATTACTATCATTTAATTTTGTTCAATATTACTCTTTGTAAATATTTTTAAGGGACTACTTTGTGGGGAATGGTTTAATCTAATTTGATCTCTAATCCTGTTAAACTTACTGGTCAAATACAGCTCCAGATACTGCAATGTGGCAAAGGTGACTGAAAGAGAATGTGTCTGAGCACTTTTAGTTATGTTATTTCCACTCCTCTCCTCCCAGTATTCCCCACCTCCCCTCTCCCCCAAATCTACTGCTTCTCTGTTGCCCTTCAGAAAGAACGGACCTCTCAGGGATATCAGCCAAACATGGCATAACAATTCACAGTAAGAATAGGCCCAAACCCTCTGATCAAGGCTGTATGAGGCAACCCAGTAGGAGGAAAAGGGTGCCAAGAGCAGGAGAAAGACTCAGAGACAGCCCCACAAAAACACCATGCTACACAACCATAACATACATACATACATACATACATACATACATACATACATATATATATGCAGAGGATCTGGCTCGAACCCATACAGGATCTGTGATAATTGTTTCAGTCTCTGTGAGCCCCTATGAGCCCTAGTTGGTTGATTCTGGGGGCCATGTTCTTTTGGTGTCCTGAAACTCTCTGACTCATACAGTCCTTCCTCCCATTTTTCTACAGGAGTCCCCAAGCTCTAGCTAATATTTGGCTGTGGGTCTCTGCATCTACACCCATAAGTTTCTGTATGAAGCCTCTCTGATGACAATTGGACTAGGTACCAATCTATGAGTATAGCAGAATATCATTAGGAATCATTTCATTGACTTTTTTGAATATTGCAAGCATGGACAAAACAATATATTATTGCAATTATTTACCATTGTTTAATCATTTAGATCAACTACCAAGATTTTCCAATGCTTGATGGATTTTTCTTGTTATTGCCAATATGATTGACATGTGAAGCAAGCTTGTTTCTAACTTAAATAAAAAAGATGGACAGTACAGTATGAATACATCAAATTTTCAGCGGTGCAGCCACTGGTAAGTTACTCATGTGATACTGAAAATCCCTTATCCAGGGCTGGGAAAGATGGCATGGCAGTTAAGAGTATTTGCTTCTCTTGCAGAATACCTGGGTTCAGTTCCATACATTCATTTGGTGGCTCACAACTGCTTTTAACTTTAGTTCCAGAGGATTCAACATCTTCTGGACTGTTTGGGCACAAGCATGAGCATGGCACACATATAATCAAGTGCAGACATACATAAAATAAAAAATAATAAATCTTAACAAACAAACCAACACCTACCCATGTATGTGGCTCTTTTGAAGTACCTGCAGAGGCCAGAAAAGGGTCTTGATCCTCTAGAACTGAGGTTACAGATGGTTGTGAACCACAACATGGGTGCTGGGACCCAAACCCAGTTCCTTTGCAAGAACAATCAGTGCTCAACCACTGAGCAGTCTTCCCAAATGCTCTTGCAGGGACATAGGTTCTGTTCCTAGCACACACATGATGACTTACAATCATCTATAACTCTAGTTCCAGGCAATCTGGTGCCTTCTTATGACCTATGAGAGGCATCAGACATGCACATGGTGCACAGACATATATACAGATGAAACATTCAGACTCATGAAATAGACATAGAAATCCCTTGAATTAACTTAATATTCTTATTCCTTCTAGAATTATATACCAAAGCTTTCCCCTCAGTTCAGTTAGCCATAATGTCTCCGAGACCAGCCTTAGACCTAGAATTTTATGTATCTTTATATTTGATTTCTGAGTTTGCAGCACCTCATCTAGTAGACAGCATTGTAGCCTTTGGTTCCCTTGTTCACAGCTTGTTGTGAGGGCTTATGAAGGATGGCTGATAAAATTTGGAGCTTACAATTGGAAGAAAATCTTGGTAGAAATAAATTAATACCTTCTAGTGTTGGTGGTCAAATTTATGCCTCAGTATTTCTAAATCTTATACCACAACAAGATAAAAACATGTCCGCTATTTATATTATTTACATTCTTCATGAAGCCAATATAAAAGTTTTAAAATACATTTTTAGTATTAAACATGCATACCATCGTCAATATTTGGAGGCACATTGCTTGAAAATTTCAAGAGACTTGTAAAACTCAGCTAGAAATAGTAAAAACCAAAGAAAATAGACTGTAATGTGCACTGATGGAATAAAAGTTTGTTTTCAAAGTGAAGTCATTGTTGAAAAAGGAAGGAATTATTTTGAAAATAAAAATCATGTTGTAGATTAAATTATGAACGATATCAGCCATGATAAAATTTATCAAATTTAAAATACCAAGAGATTTAAGTTAGAGTAAGCAAGGAGGAATGGTTGTATCAGATATTGGAACAAACCAAAATCCTTTATTGGCACAAGGGAAGAAGTAAAATACACTCTACACAAACTGATTCATGTGTATATATAAAAATAAAATCCATTTCTGATTAATGATAAAAATGCACAATTAAATTAATGTTGGTCAGATAATTGTATATACAGGTAAAAGTAAAGTATTTTATTTCAATATTTAATTCCAGATGGATTAAATACCTCAATTTGAGAATCAGAACAATTGAGAGAAATATATAGAAGATTTTATTTAAAATCTTAGGGGGATAAATAAGCAGTATTTACTATTAATAAATTCAAGTTTTATAAAATTTTAACTTTCTGTGTTAAAGTATAAACTATAAAGTTAAAAAACATGGCAAACTATATGAAGATGTTTCCAACATATGAAACAAAAAGTTAATATTCACAATATATCATGAGCTCTACCAAATTTCTGTAAAGAAAACAATGAAACCTGAATACAGAGTAGGAACAAGGTTTTCCAATAAAAGGAAACACAAGTAGTCAATAAAATCTAATTAGTGGTCAGGGAAGTGTAAATTAAAACTACTGTAAGATAACTCTCTGTTAATTAGATTTGAAAAAAGTCTTTGTTAATATCCATTGTTGGTACACAAATGAGGAAATTGGTACTTATAAACTGTTAGTGGAAATTGAATATTAGAATAGCTTTCCAGAGGCCTATTTACTACCGTCTCCTTAAAAATGTGCATACCTTTTAATGTAGCATTTCTGTTGTAGACATATACATGATCTAATACATGAATTGACACATATGCAATGGTATTTGCTATAGTATTGCTTATACTAGTCCCAAACTGAAGAAAACAAAACCCTCTCCCCAAACCCAGAGGCCTTTTGACTATATTCATCAGTCACATTATGTATGCTGCATTGATTTGACGATATGCTTTATAAAACTCATAGGGGTGAAATGATTTGATATTCTGCCCTCAGAAAAGATCTATGAAACAAAGAAATATAATCACATAAGAGTCTATGTCTATATTAGAAACATGAGTATGCAGGTAACGTAATATGTGAAGTTAATTTATGTGAAGGATATGGGTAAAGTAAGAAAGATTTTACCAATAATTAGGAAAATTAAACATTTGGTCATATTTGGAAGATACAGTTGTTAATAAAAACCTATTAAAATAAGTAAAGCCATGAAAGACACATAAATATCAAATCAATCTCAAAACTCTTCTACTTCTTCAGAAAGCATAGTTGACAAACTTCATTATATCATAAAAGGAAATCCACTTCTTTTTGTTAGAACCAGGTAAGTATTCCTTCCAGTATGCATTTGGTCAGTTCTGACCCATTGTTATATAAGACAGTAAAAAAATGCAACAACCAGACATATTCAATAAACTAAAGCAATGAGAACAAACAATAGTGTAGCATGAAGGCAAAGTTAATAGAGTCAAAGAGTTTGGATGCACCTAGAAGGGTATTAAGGCCCTTTTTGTTGTATTAGCCATTTAATTACAGATGAATCAGTTTAATAGAACCAAGTTTGAACCAAGATATAATTTTCTCTTTTAATACATATAAACTAAAATATGAAGAATAACTTAAAAACAGTGGAGAATTCAGTGCTTATAAAAGTTTTAAGTTGTGCTGATATAATCAAAGTTTTATTTATTGTGCAAACATGGTATTACCTTTTTTATTACATTTTGTCAAATTACATTGCCAGAGATTGCACATGTGAAAGGGTTGATTTGGAGTTTTTAGGAATTGCAATGTGGTAGGCATGAATTTTTAAAACAGATTGGATATTTTAAAGAGACTGAAATTTTAATGTGTTCTAAGGAGGCAATAAAAGTGATCTACTCAATGTGCAATATAAGATTAAGGAAAGAGACTTATTAAATAAGTATTGGCAATGTTTCCTTGTATCTTATTGGATCATAATTTGATAAAATAAATTAGCAGAACCAAGAGAAACTAAGCAGTACTTCTTTAAATAGTGAATCACTGAAGAAACCCTAGGAAAAATAAAAGACTCTTAGAATGAAATGAAAATGAAACATACAGATCTTTGGGTTAAAGAAAACAGTTATAAGGGGAAGCGTACAGAGATGGATATATATATGGAGAGAGAGAGAGACAGAGAGACAGAGAGACAGAGGGAGAGGGAGAAATGAGAGATACTAAATAAAATATCTATACATCTGTATAGCTGAGAAACAAAATAAGGGCAGATATAAAATGGTGACTAAGCGAAGAATAAAAAAGTTCACTGGAATAAATAATTGCTCCTTTGGAGAGATAAGCATGGCATTCAAGCCCTTAGCCAAACAATCCAAAAGAAAGAGAACATTCAAACCAATGCAATTAGAGATAGAAAAATCATATTATAGTGGATACCTCTGAAACCAAGAGGTTTCAGGAGATATTTTGAAAACTTACTCTAAAAATGGAAATCTGGAAGAAATGAATAAAATTCTAGAAACATGTAACTTGCCAAACTGAACCAATATATAAAACCCAAATAGATACAAATAATAGCAACGAAGCAGTTAATAGTGTTCCAGCAAAGACTAGCCCAAGCCTGGATTGAGTCACTGATGAATACTTTCATACCTATAAAGAAAGAACATCAGTGCTTCTCAGTGTGTTCCATAAAACAGTAAATGAAGGAATACCTTTATATCTGTTCAACAAAGATAAAAGATATCACACAATAGAAAATGCAGATAATTATTCCTGATAGACATAAAAGCAAAAATTCTCAAAATCTTTACAAGCCAAATTCAATGACATATTTAAAAACACTTCATGATAAATTGGTTTAATGTCAGAAATATAAAAATGCAAATTAGTAAACACATAAGAACACATTAGTAGAGTAGAAATTACATGCGTCATTTCAATAGATTCAGCAAAAAGCTAACTGGGGCTGGGGAGATGGCTCAGTGGTTAAAAGCACTGGCTGCTCTTTCAGAGGACCTGAGTTCAATTCCTAGCACCCATTTAAAGAAAAAAAAAGCCTGTAACAAAATTTAACATCTCTTCCTGATTAAAAAAAACTTTGAAGAAATGATTAATAGGAATGGAAGGATTACATTTAAATATAAGAAAAGTCATTTACAACAAATATATAATGAGCACTATACTGAATATAAACTGAAAACATTTCCCTTAAAGTCAGGAATAAGACAAGAGTATGAATTCTCACCAGTCAATATAGTGTTTGAAATCTTAGCCATAGTAATAACACAAGGAAAAGAAATTAAAGGGATACAAAGGAAAGAAGTCAAATTATATTTGCAAACGACCTGATCTCATACATAAAAGACCCTAAAACATTATAAGAAAACTTGTAGATTCCGTATACATTTTCATCAGAGTAGCGGGACACAAACTCAACACACAAAATGAAGAACTTTCCTATGTATATTTGTTTTTCTGAAAAAAGAAAACAACTCCATTAAAAGAAACCACAACAACCAAAACAAACACTCAATTCCTGAAAAAATAAATTAAAGATAGTAGAAGATAGAAAAGGCATCCTATGTTCATGAGTTAGCAGAGTTAGTCTTGACAAAATGGCCATGTTATTAAAAGTGATCTACAGATTCAATATAACCACCTTTAAAACTCCAATGACATTCTTCACAGAACTAGAAAAATTAATATGGAAAAAACAAAAGACCCTGAATAGCTAAAGCTTCCATTGAGGCTTCACAATACCTGACAACAAATTTTAATGCAGTCAAATAGTAATAGAAACAGTATGATACTAACAATAAAACCAAGCCTGTGACAGTAAAACAGAGAATCCAGAAACAAGCCTATGTAGCTACCTCCATCTAATCTTCTATTAAGAGGGCAGAAACTTAGGTTGGAAAACAAACAGACTTAGTGCTGGTGCTGGGAAAACTGGAAATTGATGGGTAAACATAGAACTAGATCGTCCTATCTCACCTGCACAAAAAATCTATTCAAAGTTGATCAATGACATAAATGTAAGACCCAGGACTTTGAAATTAAAGGAGAGCATAGGGGGACCAGTTTAAGATCTAGGTGTATGGCTTTCTGAATAAGACCCCAATAGCTCAGGAAAGAATGACGAGAATTTAAGTTGCCTCAGGTAAATACAAATTCAAAATCCAATGAGTCCATTTCACCCAATCAGATGTCTACTATCGAGGAAAGGAAAAAACATGTGCCAGTGGGGAAGTGAGGGAAAAGGAACGCCGTGCCCTCTTGGTGACACTATAAAATAACACAGCCTACAGGTTAGCATGCAGATTCCTCTACAGACTAAGGATAGAGCTGTCATTTGATCCCATTCTACAACCCTGGATGTGCATCCAAAAGAAAACAGTTAAGTTTCTACAGAGATTTGTGTATCCATGTCTGTCATACTAGTCAACAGTAGCCAAGTTATGGGGTAGACATGGGTGGCACAGAGATAGCCTGCTGAATTGACATTGGATGCTAAGTAAAAGAGGAAAAATATGAAATGGAGAGGGGAGGATGGGAGTATAGAGTTTGTATGATATTAACCAACATTCTAGAAAGAAACTGGGGAAACAAAGCCATTACTCCATTTACTTTTACCTCAAGAAAAAATATTTTCTTTGAGTGAACCTAGCCAAGGAGTTGAAAAACCACCACAATGAAACTCGGGACACCGAGGAAAGTAACTGAAGTAGATCTAGATTAACAAACCTTCATGTGCTCTGGGATTGGAAGAATTAGTATTGCGAAAATGGCTGTCTTACCAAAAGTGACCCACAAAATTCCAATCCAAATCTTAAAGCCATTCTTCACAGCAATAGAAAATAAAAGTTTAATTCATGCAGAAGTACAAAGGACCCCAGATACTACAAGAAATCCTGGGAAGAAAAGATTGATGTAGGAGGTGTCACTGTAATCAATTTCAATTTATATTACAGAGCCATATTAATAAAAGCATCCCAGTATGGTCACAAAGCAGGTATGTAGATCAATGAAGTAGAAGACCTAGATATAAATCCATACACCTGCAGTCACTTGATTTTGTTTTGACAGTACCAAAAGATATACATGGGAGAAGACAGCATCTTAAGCTAGTGGTGTGGGAAAGTAAATATTCACATGTAGAAGAATGAAACTAGATCCCTGTTTGTTACCTGGTCCAAAAAAATCAATTTAAAATTGGATGGAAAATCTTAACATAAGACCTGAAGCTTTGAAACCATTAGAAGAAAAAATAAAGGAATTATTTTAAGACATAGACAGTGGCAAGTACTGGCTGAACAGGCAACTACTCACTTAGGATATAATGTCAACAGTTGACAAATGGGACCTCATGAAACCAGAGAGCTTCTGCAGTGCTATGGAAACAATTACCAGAGTTTACCAGTAGCCTACAGAATGGGAGAAAATCTCTGCTAACTGTACATGTGGCATGTTAATATCTGTAATGTACAAATAAAAGCTAAAAATTCAAACAAGTCAATAAATGGCTAAATGAACAGGTAGTGCTCAAATGATGAACGCAAATTTGTTCATATAAACATATAAAACATATGAACATATAAAAAGTTCAATCTCTTTGCCTGTCATATAAACGAAAATATATGTATGTCAGTAATCAAGCAAACAACAAATTCTGGTCAGGATATAGGCCAAAGTGAACCCTCCAGTATGTGTGGGAATATAAACTACTACAGCCACTGTGGAAATTGGTATTGGAGGTTCTAAGAAAATTAAGTTTTTCACATGACCTAGTTATACTACTCCTGAATATTTCCCCAAAGAACTCCAAGACAGCATTGTAACATGAAAAATAAAAAGATCCAGAGACAGATATTGGTGTTCAAGCTTCAAGCTGAAGATCAGAGAAGCAAAGCAGTCAAGTCAGTAGCTCTTACTTCTACCCGGGCTGAAGCAGTCCTGACCTGAATGTGACTGACTGGAGACCAAAATGCCCCAGACTGAATATCTGCTCCTATCGTATATACCTCTCTAAAGCTGGGATTAAAGACATGGGTTCCCAAGTGCTGAGATCTTCTTCATATGAGCTGATTCTCTTTTAGACTGATTCAATCTTGTATAGCCCTGGGTGTCCTTAGACTCACAGAGATCTATCTGCCTTTGTCTCCTGAGTCCTGGGATTGAAGGTGTATGCCACTGCTGCCCAGTGTCTATAACTAACTATATGGCTGACTTTGCATTTTGATCCTTCAGGCAATCTTTATTAAATCATAAAAAAATATATCACTATACAACATATCACAGGAATCCTCGCACATCAATATTCATTGCAGCAGTGGTTACAATAGTTCAGTTATGGAGCCAACCTAGATTTCTAGCAACACAGAGAGAGAATGGGTGAATAGAGCAGAATAATCTGGTGTGTTTGTACAATGGAATTTTTTTACCCACAAAGAAGTATGAAGTTACTTCATTTTAGGAAAATGTGTGTAACTGAGATAATCATATCATGCCAATTAAGGCAGTCTCAGCATTTGGGAGGCAGAGGCAGGCAGATCTCTGTGAGTTCAAGGCCAGCCTGGTCTACAGAGCGAGTTCCAGGACAGCCTCCAAAACAATACAGAGAAACCCTGTCTCCAAAAACAAAAAACAAAAACAAAAACAAAAAAAATCATGGTTCCTAGGTTTTATGTAGATATGGAAAATTATAAATGTGTGCATAGCATAAATATAAAAGTGAAACTGTAAAAATGGAAATGCAGTTAATAAAAAGTGTTAAAAATTTAAAATATAGTTATCAGTGGCTAATGTATATATTGACTATTTTAAGTGCAATTTGTAGGGGCTCAAGTAAGGAAATGATGAATAGATACAAGTAAGATATAAATATATGATTAACTTGTGAATTAGAAGGTCTGTTTGAACGATGCTAGTATTTGGATAGCACTGTTGTACTGATCAATCACTTTTGTATGCCAAAATAGTTTTATTCTTATTTAGTTACTTAGTACGTGTGTGTGTGTGTGTGTGTGTGTGCGCGCGCGCGCACTCACACACATACATTATGGCATGTACGGGGCAGGGGGGATCAGAAGAAAACTTATGGGAGTCACTGTTCTCCTAACACCGTGTGAACTCTGGGGATCAGATTCAGTTCACCAGTCTTGGGAGCAGGTCCCTTTCTCCAATGAGTCATCTTGCCAGTTCCCGCATCTCCTTTGGTTTTAAAAATAGACTATTGGGAGATGCATTGCCAATACTTAGTTCCACCTGTAGTTGCACCATTATTATTTAGTTAACATTTTTAGTATTTTCCTCAGTGTTGTTACTGATGCTGCATTTGGGGGGTTTAAACACACAACTCTATTCATATATGTAGATTCCTCATAGTAAAGCTCTAGAAGGTGCTTTGTTAGTGAGATAAGAGGCAGAACTTCTTAAGGGGATGGTTGCTCATCTAACTTTTAAATCATTAGTTTCTATGAGGTGGAGTATTTGCTGCATTTGGTTTTCCCAATTTTTAGAACAAGAACAGGGCAATGCACGATGCTGTCTGTGTACTCTAGAGTAGTGCATATTAGGACAAGAGCACAGTTAAGAGCCCAGTTGTCTGCATTTGAAGTTCAGCTCTACAGGGTACTGTGCCTGGGGCTTAAACATGCTTTTCTTAGTTTAAGTTTCCTTGGCAAAATGGGAATAACATGAGCTGTGTGCATAAAGCACCTGGCACCTCGTAGCTCTGTGTGTTATACGCATCCTAGCATCCAGGATGCTTGGGCAAAAGGGGGGAGAGTTTGAGGTCAGCCTGAGCTATAGCATAGATTTGTCTAAAAAAGAAAAACCTTAACTTTTGAATAGTGAGTGTCGGTAATAGACGTTGCTGAGCTAGACTCATCTTATGGTAGATTTGTCCTATTTTTAATCTCAGAGCACTTGTTGTAAGGGTGATTTACATGTCTGCTGTGCTATTGCTGTGGGTCAGCAGAACACAACATGCCAGATGCTTGTTTTCTGTGCCAGGTGCACAGGAATGGGCAGAAAACAGAAAAGAACTTTAGGTCATGACTTTAGTTGTATCTCATGCTCTTGAATCTGTATTTTTTTCCAGATTCGATTCACTTCCAAGGGGGAGAAAAGTGGCCACTAGCAGCTCAATGGACCCGGGCCCAGAAAGCAGTGAGTTTGTGAGCAGAATGTGGGTCCAATGTGAGAATGAAAGCTGCTTGAAGTGGAGGCTGCTGTCTCCAGAGGCTGCGGCCAGGGTGGAGCACAGCGAGCCCTGGTACTGCTTCATGAATGCTGACTCCAGCCACAACAGCTGCTCGGTGTCTGAAGAGACTTTTCCTGCAGAGTCTCAGTTCCTTGACAATGGGTATAAGATTGTTTATTCACAGCTTCCTCTAGGAAGCCTGGTTTTGGTGAAATTACAGAATTGGCCAAGGTAAGGGATTTATTTTCTGTCTATTCCTTATTAAGTAATCATTACTTAATTACTGATTTATTTAAATTTTAATACATTTCCTTATTTTCATGTGTGTTTGTGGGTCTGTGTGTGTGTGTGTCGCAGCGGATCAAATTCTAAGAGCTTCCCACTTGCTAGACTAACACTACTGCTAAGAGCTTCCCACTTGCTAGACTAACACTACTGCTAAGCTACATGCTTAGCCCTGTGCCTTGCTTGGTTTGCATTTGGAGTGGATTTGCCTATTTCTAACTTTTCACCCAGAATTATTCATGTTTTTACAAAACAGATTTCCACATTTACAGAAGTCTTGGGTTCACAAAAATTGGGTGTAAGTACAGTTTCCATACACCTTCTTTCCACTCAGAACTCACCCCTTCCCGTTACACCCCACACAATGTGATTTGTTATAATTAGTGGATCCACACTGACACATCCTAGTTATCTCCAGAGTTCATAGTGTACATGTAGGTTCCCACTCTGTGTCTGGCAGGTATACTCTCCACAGTTAGTCTTTCCTCCACCATGTGGATCCTGGGGATTGAACTCACGTCATCGGGCTTGTTGGCAAGTGCCTTTACCCCCTAGCCATCCAAATGGTCCCTTAATTGCCAATCTCTGATACTATCTTTGTCATCTGAGTTGTGTTCATTCTTCTGTTTTCTTAAATGAGAGGTAATTTAATTCATCTCTTATCCTTTCATCTTAATTTAAACAAAGCTAAAAATTTTCTTTCAAGAACTGTGATAAACATTGTGTTTTATTCATCTTGAAATAGTTGCCAATTTCTTATTGAAATTTAGTTATTTATAAGTGTGTTTATAAATGACAAACATTTGAGCATCTTAATTATTCTGTAAACACTTAAAATATTTTTCATTAAATGTATGTGAATTTGCTGTATCTCAGATTTTTGCATTCTGGGTCAAAATTTTACAACTATATACTATGTATTTTCAGTGTGTAAGACTTAGAATTCAGTTAAACTTTCTTGATGTAAAGGCAGTTGTACTGTCCCATCATATGGCTTTGGCTTTTTACTTCATTCAGGACTTTATATTATAACTTAGGTAATCTTTTCTATATTTGGTATATCTTTTTCTTGAACTGTTTTCATTTTGTTATCCCTTTAAAATTTAAATATTTTTCTTCTAATTATTTTATTTTTCTGAAGGTATCAGTTTTTTTTCTCCAGATTTATTTTGGTAAAAAAAAATTAGATATAACCTTTCAAAAATTACATTAATGTTTAACATGCATTCAAATACCTTTCTTTTTTTTCCAGTTTAAATTTAGATAAGAAACGAGGTTGCTTCACAAGTCAGTTCGAGGTCCCGCTCCCATTCCCTCCCCTCCTCCCATGCCATCCCCCCAACCCCCCCCCGTTATCCCCTCATTCCCCCAGGGAGGGTGAGGCCCTCCATGTGGGTGTCCATAGTCTGTCATTTCATATAGGGCAGGGCCTAGACCCTTCCCCAAGAGTTCAGGGTGAGAGTGCACCTCACATTGTTCTATGGGAGTCCAAAGTCCGTGTGTATATTTGGGATGGGTACTGATCTGCTGCCCAAGGCTCAATAGGTTCCCTAGGCCTCCTCATTGACACCCAAATTCAGGGGGTATTGATCAGTCCCATGCTGGATTCCCAGGCTGATGCCTGGGATTCAAGAGTTAACCTTTGTCTGGTCAGCTGTTTCTGGGGGGTTAAACCAGCCCAGTCTTAATCCCTTTGATCATCAGTCCTCCCTCTCTGATACTGGCTTTCTTGAGTTCAGCTCAGTACTTAACCGGCCACTAAATGAAATTGGTATCAGTTTTTTAAAATTGTATTTTCCAGTTTAAATTTAGATAAGAAACAAGGTTGCTTCACAAGTCAGTTCCAGGTCCCTCTCCCATTCCCTCCCTTCCTCCCGAGCCTTCCCCCCCCCCCCCCGTTATCCCCTCATTTCCCCAGGGAGGGTGAGGCCCTCCATGGGGTTGTCCATAGTCTGTCATTTCATATAGGGCAGGGCCTAGACCCTTCCCCAAGAGTTCAGGGTGAGAGTGCACCTCACATTGTTCTATGGGAGTCCAAAGTCCGTGTGTATACTTGGGATGGGTACTGATCTGCTGCCCAAGGCTCAATAGATTCCCTAGGCCTCCTCACTGACACCCAGATTCAGGGGGTATTGATCAGTCCCATGCTGGCTTCCCAGGCTGATGCCTGGGATTCAAGAGTTAACCTTTGTCTGGTCAGCTGTTTCTGGGGGTTAAACCAGCCCAGTCTTAATCCCTTTGATCATCAGTCCTCCCTCTCTGTTACTGGCTTTCTTGAGTTCAGCTCAGTACTTAAACAAGGGAGTCTGCCTCTTCTTCGATCAGCCACTAAATAAAGTTTCTGTTTCCCAGACTCTCTGGCCATAGGATTGAAGGCTGGCACTCCCCAGATCTATGTCTAAAATCCATATATGAGAGAGTACATGCCATGTTTCTCTTTTTGTGACTGGGTTACCTCACTCAGGATGGTTTCTTCTAGTGTCATCCATTTGCCTGCGAATCTCATGATTCCATTATTTTTTTCTGCTGAATAGTACTCCATTGTGTAGATGTACCACATTTTCTCTATCCACTCTTCAGGTGAGGGACATCTAGGTTGCTTCCAAGTTCTGGCAATTACAAATAAAGCTGCTATGAACATAGTGGAACAGACATCTTTGTTGTATGAATGGGCATCTTTTGGATATATGCCTAAGAGTGGAGTTGCTGGGTCTTGTGGTAGGTTTATTCCCATTTTTCTGAGGAATCTCCATACTGATTTCCAAAGTTGCTGAACTAGTTGGCACTCCCACCAGCAATGGAGGAGTGTCCCCCTTTCACCACATCCTCTCCAGCATAAAGTGTCATTGGTGAGGTATCAGTTTTTTTATTTCTTCCAATTAAGCATTCATTTTTGAAGTTTTAAAAAGGTTTTCATTATTTTTTTCACATCTTTAATCACTCATTTTAAGTTTTTCTGATTCACACATGTGTATTATATCTACACTATTTTCTTTAATTCCGTTAAGGCAACTTGAAATCTTGAGTGAAATTTTATTCTTTCAAAACTGTTCCTCTGTGGCAAACTTTCATCTTTGGATATTTTTGTCTCATACTATTTTTACCACACTAACTGAGTATTAGCTTCTTTTGTGATCCTGTGGGGATGGAAGAGACTGAGGAAATAAGTGATTTGCTGTGTGGTCTGACTGACCTGGGCTCAGATCTCTGAGTTCCACCTAGCAGCAAGCCTCAGGCCTGGAAGGCCAAACAGTCCTAGCTAGCAGAGGTGTTTGTGTGTCACTACTACAGAGGGAGAGGCCACCAAACACTGCTCTCACAGTTGTAGCTCCTTGTTGCCTAAACTTCTCATCAGTTTGGGTCCAACCTCCCAGTCTCGTAGGGTACCTCTTGTGGACATCTCCTACCCAGACCCATCCTTGGCAGGGTGTCCCCAGGGTCCTGGTTGTGGACATCTCCTACCCAGACCCATCCTTGGCAGGGTGTCCCCTGGGTCCCTAGCTTGTGGCTGCTCCATGTTTTCAGTAACTACCTATACTCCCAGACAATGGATCTCTTCTCCAGTGGTACCTGGCTATTGGACTCCAGGATGTGACAAGAGGAGCAGTGGATTTCTTCTCCCTGGACCCTGGAGAGCAGAGGGGGACTCTGTGGACTGGTTCCTATTGTTCTGTGTGTGCTTTTTTGTCTCACCATGTCTGATGGTTGTTCTGTCACCTCTTGGAACTCGGTGTCCCTTTCTGTGTTCCGTGCTTCCTGGAGTCCCATTGGGAAGACTAATCTAGCAACCAGACAAACTCCTTTGCTCTCACTCATTCTGTCCTCTTTGGCTTTACTTTTCTCCCAGAAGTTTGCTTTTATCAGAGTTAACTTTTTTTCATAGAGATTGTCTATGTTAATAATGTTCCCAGGGTTCCTCAGAGCTCTAACATGCTCAGAATTGCTTGTTTCCCCATTGAAGTTTAGCCCGTTGCTTTCAGTTCAGCCTGCTGGGCTCTCCAGGGAAGCTTGCCACCACTTTGAAATTTTCATCTCTCACATTTGTCAGATGATCTCTGCATTCCCACTCACTCTTCTTTTCTCTCACAAATACCAATATTGCTAGGTCCCTAGAGAGTTGTCATTATTGATCCTGTTTTGACGCATATGCAGTAGCTTATCACTCAGCTTCATCATGGCTGTTGTATGGCAAGTGTAGTGTGGCTGTATTTGTTCTACCTGTATTCTGAAGAAATTGTACAGGATTCTGAGTGTGTATCATCACCAATACTACCCTTTCAGAACCTTTTACTAGGTTTATAAACTTTTACATTACAAAACTCAAGTGTATTGACTTTTTATCTTGTTCTCTATGAATACCATAAGGAACTGACCATAAAAGAGAGTCTATGAGAAGCCCAGTCTAATATGCACATATGTGCAATAGACCTCCAAGTCAATATGTAGATTTAGGTACTCATTATTTTTTGATGAATTATGAACCATATGTTGAATGCTGCCATGGCTCCTAATAACTCAGAATGTGGCTATATTTAGATGTAGGACTTTTAAAGAAGTGATTAATTACAAATGAGATCCATTAGGGAATGCCTTAATTCTATTTAGCTGGTATTCTTGTAAGACAGGGATTTGGGCATGCACATGCAAAACAGAAAGACAGAAAATACACTATAAAGGTGGTGTCTGCCAGCCTGGGAGAGAGATCAGAAGAAGCAAAGTGTTCACACTTCAGTCTTGGATTACTAGCCTATATAAGATGCAGAAAGTAAATTTCTCTCACTTCTCCTATCAAGTCTGTGATATTTTGTTAGACTAGCCCTAACACACACACTTACTGCTTTATCAAAGTTGTGACATCTGTGCCTTTTTTTATGAGGGTTTTTCTAGGGATCAAAATGACAATATTGTAAACATTATTGTTCCCTCCTACATTATAATTAACATGGACATTAATTGGTTATATAAGATCCAATATTTTAATGGACATGTAATATGAACATTTACTGAAATTATGATGAAGGGATTTATAGTTCTCCATTATTTTTCATCTCTAAAGCAAACATTTTGAAAACAGAGTTAAAAATGCATTTTGAAAGCAGTTCCCAAATGGGAAGTTTGAAGTTTCAATAACTGTAATTCAAGAAATGAATTTGCTTTTATCAATCAACTAATATATCTGAAAACCAGAAAATTTCACCGGGAGTTAGTAACTGAGACAAAGAAATTTTGAAATTTTACATGAAATATGTTTATTTCAGTCCCTAAGTTATCTCTAATTTGTGATGGCTGTCATTGACGTGCCTGAAAAACAGCTGCATCTTCCCTTCTTCGGAGAATAGAATGCATTTGACTGTGTATCATTTATGTTCTTCTTTATGAGCTAAGTTGAGCACAGATTCAAATTTCAAATTAAGAAACTGAAATATACTTGTGCATTGTGTATCCAATGGCACAACTGTATAGAATGATAGTAAGATAAATTACAATAGTAAACTGTAAAGATAGAATTAACCCACAAGTAACAGTCAAACATCTGATCTTAGTTAAACAAACCTCTAGACCCTGAAGTCAGGACGGCTGCGCCTGCAGAGGCTCTTAGCAGTGCAGCACAGACTGGGTGGGCTTTTACCAGCCTGTGGCTTTATAGGCTGCTCTTAAGACCAGAGACGCCATCTTGCCAGCATCCAGAGTTACTGTGGCTCAAATGAGTTGACTCAAGAATGTTTAAGATAAACTGATGCAGAATCTAGAAATGCTTGTTTAATCTTTTTTTTGAAATAAAAGAAAACAGTTCACCAGGCATTGTGGGCATTGGTGATGCTCACCTTTAATCCCAGCAGTCAGGAGGCAATGGCAAGTGGACCTCTGTGAGTTTGAGGCTAGTCTGTTCTACAGAGCGAGTTCCAGGAATGGCTCCAAAACAATATAGAGAAACCCTGTCTTGAAAAACAAACCAAAGCAAACAGAAAACAAAACCAAAACAAAAGAAAACAAAAAGCAAACAGTTCTCAGGAGAGTAGCACTTTGTCTATTGGTCTCATAGTTAATTTTCTCCCACGTGGCACACCACATGCTTATGAACCTGTAAAAGGCACACACAGAGCCTCTTGATAAGCAAGGGAAGGTATTTCTAAACCCCTCCTCTTTTTACCTGCACCAGTTACTCTGCACATACACAGTCACATTAGCTTCCTCTGGCTGCCGTAACAAAGCAACACGTTAACTGCCTCACATAACGCAGACGTGGTTTTCCACAGACTCCAAGTCCAGACCATGGTATCTCATGAATGACTTCCTTGAAGGCTCTCTCCTTGACTTACAAATGGCCACTTTCTTGCCATGTCCTCACATACTCTTCCCTTTGCATGTCTGTCCTGCTCTGTCCCATGAGGCGGTCTTCTAGGATGTGGAACCTGTCCTAGTAAGTTCAGTTTTACCTGAGTTACTTCTTGTTGTTATTTTGAGACAGGCTCCCCTGTAGTTCAGCTGCCCTTGGACTCTGACCCTCCTGCTTCCACCTCCCGAGTGCACAGAGTACATACATACAGCACCGTGTCTAGCTTTCCTGGTTATTTCTTTAAAGGCCCTTTTCTGAACATAGTCACCTTCTGAGATACTGGGAATTAGGTTTTCAACATCTAAATTGGTCACAACACATCTCAGTCTTATGATGATGACAGACCTTTAATTTCTCAAACGCAAAAATGCATAAATCACACATTTATTTGAACTTGGTAACACGTTAGGGACCATAGAAAGAAGTCGGCGCCTTCAGAAAGCCACTCCCTGGTAGGAGGCAGAGTGAGAGCGTGAGTCTCTCCCTTGGTGCTGTAACTCTCTTACTTGACAGAGCTGTTGGCGGCACAGAGTTGAGCAGGTGGACAGTTTTCAGTGCTACAGTGTTAGATGTATGCAATCTAGCTCTTGAGCTGCAAACTTTTGTCAGACGTCTACCACAATTCCTTATCACAGGACGTCAGTTGCTTTTCTCCCTTTCCTTCCTGATTTATTTCCAGAGTTGCAGGCCAGATGTTGGTAAAATATTTGAAACGTAATTAGAATTGGGCATACTGGTACACCTATAATCCTAGCACTCTAGAGAATGAGTCAGGAGGATCATTTGAGGCCAGAGAGGAAAACAAATTAAATGTGTATGCATATAAAACTTTTGCTATGGATAAAGTTAAGAAACACAGCATTTACAAAATAATCATTTTAATTTCAGAGATGTCGTTTTCTAAGACAGATAATTTGTATAAGGTAACATTAAATATGTAAGAAAATGTTCATTTAATAAGCAGGATAAATAGGACACATAGCAGTAATTACCATGCTCATCTGAAGGCAAAAAAAGTAGCCTTGTTGAGACAAATATCTACTTCCTGGTAAATACTGAGCAAATGAATTACTTTTCTTAGTTAGTGCTAAATTTGCTTGTTTGTCTGCGATAGGATCTCACAAACGTAGCCTTGGAGCTAGATGTAGACCAGGCTGGCCTCAACCTCAGAGACACACACTTCTCTGCTTTGTGAGTGCTGGGACTAAGGGCCTGTGCCACCATTCCCGACCTAACTTTTTTACTTATATTCATAATCAGGAAATTTTAAGGCGCTTGTGACCTGTAAGTCTTTTAGTCATTTCAGCTTCCTTTTAGTGCAGAGTTGAATAAATGAAGCAAGCAAAACAGATGTGGGTTTGCTCACATCAGCAGTTTTCAGGACTTGGACCCCAGATGGGATACCTTTTTCAGCTTTTGCTTAGCAGTGTTGTCCTGGAGAAATGGCTTAGCAATTAAGAGTACATACTGCTCTTTCACCTACACACACACACACACACACACACACACACACACACACACACACACACCTGTTATTTAGGAGTAATGATTAAAAGAAAGACAGAAAGTAGAAAAATAGAAAGCTATGTAAGCGAGAACTGAATGGCCAATGGAGAAAATGACGTCTATAGAGATTTCTGTCAAAATAAACCTTACATTTCAATTTTACTTTATGTGTGGGGGTGTTTTGTCTTTGTACCACTTGCGTGCCTGGTGCCTGTGAAAGCAGAAGAGGGCTTCAGATCCTCTGGAACTGGAGTTCCAACAGATGGTTGTAAGCCACTGTGTGGTTGCTGGGGATTGAACCCAAATCCTCTAGAAGAGAAGTCAGTGCTGTTACCCACTGAGTCATCTATCCAGCTCCTAAACATATCTATAAAGATTTTTTTACAATAGTATTTTATTTAGAGTTTGGAATTTTTTAGCAAATTAGTGATTTGTCAATGGAGCAGATAGAGGGGAGGAACAGTTTGGAGGGATGGAGCTGAAGTCTGCCTTTTCTGTGCTTTACTCCACAATGGTTATCACTGTTTAAGCTGTTTTACTGCCTGTCACCTATTAATTTATCTGTTAGCTATTTGCCTATAGCTATGTACCTATTGTCTATCTATAATATATCACCTATCATTTATCTTTAGGCTATTATTGCTTCATATCTTTCTGTCATTTGTTATCTAAATTTTATAATTTGTTATCTAAATTAATCATTTATCTATAAGCTATCTTCTGTGTCTATCTGGCACATCATCTATCTGTCCATCACTTATCATCTACCTATCACCTGTTACCTGCCCTCTATGTACCTCTCATCTATCCATTGTGCACAATATCTGTCTATCTATCTATCTATCTATCTATCTATCTATCTATCTATCTATCTATCTATCTTATCTATCTGTCTATCTATCTATCTATCTATCTATATGTCTATCTATCTATCTATCTATCTCTCTATCTCTCTATCTCTCTATCTATCTGTCATCCACCAAGCTATGACACTATGTCAGTGGTTAACATTGTGATAACTCACCATTTTTTTGTGGCTAGAATGAATTCAATTTTGCAGAGAATTTGATGTATCATTTTCCCCCTTTGCCTGCCCAGTGGTGTCCAAATGTTTCATATTCTGGATATCATTTATTTTATAATTCTTTTTCATCTTCTCTGTGACAATATCAAAACATTTTATTGCTAGCTACAAAGATATAATTTTATTACTTGTTTACTATCTTTGAAAGGTGTAAGTAGGAATAAATTTATGTTTGTAGAAGTTGTTAAAATTTAAAGAAGTTTGATATTTGATTGTGACAGATGTGTCAATGAGTTTCTTTTATAAAAGAATGAAACTTATTTTAGCATTTGTTTTTTAAAAGTTGGCCGGGGATACTTTGTCCTGATCCTTTCAAAAGGAAATATGTGACCTATGACCAGGATGGAAATGTTGAAAAGTATCATATAGAGTTTCTGGGTGACCCCCACTCAAGAGCATGGATAAGTGCAAAATTTGTTGGATATTATAGTCTCTCACTAAAGGTAGGTATAGTAAGTAACATAAAAGACCTATGCTTTCTGCAGTTTCTTTTACTTGTTAATTTTTATTTCAGATTTTAAAATAATCATTCACATTTGGATTTGTATAAGCAGAATAATGTATAGTATGCTTTTAAATGGAAACATTTTTCTCAAAGGAATTGTGTATATAAAATAGCTGTGGGAGTTTTAAAGCGTTTCCAATAGTAAAAATCAACTAAAGAATGCTCTTTTAAAATGGTTTTTAAGATTGTCATCTTTTAAATTCTCCTGAGACTGTAAGTTTCTACATCAGTCACAGAAAATTAATTATGGACTACACCAAGCTTTTCAAATTTGAAACAGAGTATTTCATTACACTAACTCCTTTGGTGTCTTTGCACTCTTTTTTAAACTTTAATTTGCACATTACAATTAATTTATAGATTGGATTCTCAGGCTAGGGATGAGAGGTGAGTTGGACCTGTTTCCAAGGAATAGCAGTCATAAACATAAGACAGCTCAGCTGTCTGTGCTTACACCTGACACTGAAACCTTTATCTACAAACCATGCAGTCATTAAAGAACTGTTAAAAGTAGGCGTCACAAACATGGATACCTTTGACTTGGTTTTGAATTCTTTTTAGTAGTGAAAAGATATATTCAGGTCTATAATACCTTAGTATATGTACGGATAAATCATGTAATTCACTCTCAGTAAAATTAAATCTGTGGCAATTTTAGACTGCTTTAAATGGGCTTTGCTCTATCTTTGGCAGATGTAGCATTTTTGTACAATTCAGTTTGAAAGCAGTTAGAAGGAAACACTGTTTGTGTGTAAATATGTAACCACGACAGAGCATCACATGGGTCCACTTCTCTATGCTCTCATTATGAAGCCCTGTCTGCTCTCTCCTTTCAGATGCATTTATTCCTAGATAGGTCTGCTGGTAACCATGGACAAAAGTGAGGACTGTGTCTTCTTTGTCCTAGCTGCTCACAAACCTAGCTGTCTATAGACTCTAGGTGTTTAACACTGTGGCAATTAAAGACTAAGGCGTTTCTTAATAAATGACATTTAATTGTAAGCACGAAAGTCAAAGTGCATTATAAGTTATCTGAATACATGTTATCCTCAGTGTTGAAATTTTGTCAAGTTTAATTCGCTATCAGTCCCCTGGGCAAGAGAAAAGTCTGATAGAGAAGATAGCCACGTGTTTCTCTTTTTAACCTGCTCAAGGCTTCAGCAGAAATCCTTACACAACGACCAGGGTTCGGAGGTGCCTATGACAGTGTGAGGGTGAGGGTGAGGGTGAGGCTGGGAAGGCCATTTGCTTCCTTCTCCCTTTCCAAATTCCCCACTGGGGTCCATGTGGACGACTTGTTGGCACCCACAGGCTCTGAGGCTCTTTCCTTGGCCGTGATTTAGGACTCTGTCTTCCCGTAGCGCTCCTATCCCATCTCTTTCTTCACTTGCACCTTAGCAGATAGAGTCAGGATGCCTTTTGTGGTTCAATTTAAGTTCCAAAATCAAGTTCTTAAAATTCAGCTCTTACATGACAAACTCTTTTGTGTATTGCCAGAGATAGGCTGTTGTAAATTGAAATTTCAGTGTTAAGGACTCGGAGTTTTAAAAATATTTATTTTTATTTTATGTTCACAAGTGTGTTGTCTGCATGTATGTAAGGCATGGTCTGGGTACCTTGTGCCCATGGAGGCTGAAAGAGGGTCCTGGAACCCCTGGAACTAGAGTTAAGAACTGTTATGAGCTGCCATCTGGGTACTGGGAACGGAACCCAGATTCTCAGGAAAAGCAGCAAGTGTTTTTAACATCCGAGCCATCTCTCTCGGGGTTTTAAATACAGTTTTCATATTACTCACAGAGAAAACAGCTAGAAGGACACAGCAGTTGGTGGGTAGTGTGGCAGTGTGCATTTTCCTCCTGTGCTTTACTACTGGCTTGCTGAGGGTTGTCTCATCCATGCTTCTAGGGGACATTTGCCAGCATTATTCGTTATACCCAAGTAAGATTTATCCCACAATGCAAAGACGTATCCACATATGTCATCAGGGCAGTGTACAAAATTAACAGGAGGAAGGGGAAACATAATTTCAATTGATGAAGGAATGTATTTGGCAAAGTTCTACGCCCCTGACGATAAAAACACTCAGCACCTAGGAGGGAAGTCTTGGGTGAGAACACTGTAGTAAGTAAGCATCATGCTCCCTGGTAAAAGACTGCAGGCTGTTCCTTCAGAGGAGCAGGCAGAGCAAGATGAGGTGTCCTCTTTGCGTCCAGCGGTCTCCTTTGGAGGACTAGAGGTGGTGAAGAACTAGGGCATATCTCTGCAACTGTGACTCAGTACTGAGTCTGCTCCGTGAGTAAGTTCTCTACTTTATCTCCTATGAATTCAGATATCTGTGGACTTGTACTGTATTAAAAATCCCGAATCCAAACAGCCTGAGCAACTTTGTTTATAAAGGACGAAACAGGTGGCCACCCTTCCGGGTGTATAAGGCTCATTCTAAGTTGCCCTCAGAGTTATGACCCCGAGGAGTAAGGTGAAGCTGCCTCTCAGTGAATCTCCCATAGGAGTAAGGTGAAGCTGCCTCTCAGTGCGTCTGCCAGGGAGGCTTCTTAGAGTAGGGAAGAGTTGTGAGCTAACCGATTGATACATTCTTCCATCAGGGAGCAGGCAAGCCCTAAACCCATACAAACCTAAGTTTACAGTTGGATATATTAATATCCTTTCCATTTTCTTAATTCCCTTCGGTGTTTGAAGTACAGTCTAGCAAAGAACTGGAATCTATACAGGAATTCAAGAGAACCTGTGATCCCCAAACCCCACATAAGGACCATTGGATGACTTTTGAAAATAATTGTCAGAACTATCACTTCTGTGTTTAGCTCAGAGAACATGCCCTGCTGTGCAACGCATGGTTAACTGTCCACTTCAGTGACTCCACTGCTTTTTTGAAGGTCATTAACTAAACACAATTCTGGGTATTTGTCTGTAACACCTATGTCTGGTGTTTGTCCATAGTAAATACATTGCTTCTAAAGAGCCAAGCAGGTGCAGGGTAGAAAACAGCTGCCGTGTGTGTTACTGTTGCTTAGGCTGAGACCTTGCTACCCACTAGCATTGCTGCTTTAGATACGTCAGGCCAGCTCTGACTCTTAAAGGCTCAGCACAAATGAGCACACACTGGTTCTCAGGATTCATTTCAGCCTTGCCATGTCTTCTAGTTCTTCCCAGCCTTCCTGCCGACCAGGCGGCCTCTATGGCAGCAGGAGAGAGCTTCAGGCTAGCCAGGCACCAGTCTTGAACATCACCTCCTGGGAGCCCTTGCTCTTCCAAAGGACCCAGGCTTGATTCCCAGCACCTGCATGGTGGCTCACAACCATCCATGACTCCAGTTCCAGGGGGTCCAACACCTTCTTCTGACCCCTGTGGGCAGTAGGCACGCATGTGGTGTGTAGATGCATGCAGACAAAACATTCATAAAAAAATCTAATTTTTTAAAAATGTTACCTACTGTCCCAGTGTTTTATTTCTGCTTCATTCATTAATATATTACTGCTACTTTATTATCAATTTGCATAGAAATGTTAATTTCTTTCTTGCTTTGGACTTAATTCAGTTTTATAAAATTAAAAATATTACAATTTGAAATCTGAGTATATAACATACTTAAAACTGTACACATTAAAGTTGACTTTTTTTAAAATCCCCTTTAAAATTGTGTTAACACATACATAACCTAAAATTTATCAATTTAGTGTATTTAATGTTCAGACCATTGGTTAAGTTTTTAACTACTGAATAGTCCTGCAACATTTTTCCCAGCAATGTGAAAGTGTCCTTGTTTGGAAGGTACCATCCGACACTTACCATGTATCTTATCATTTCCAGCACCACTTATCTGTCATAATACCTGTTAGGAGCTCTTCCCAACACCACAACAGTTTCTTTAAGGAAACAAACTGCTCACAGGGAGCCACCATCACTTTGTAGTACACACAGATCTTGGAGCTGGTTGCCTGCATGCTAATTCTAACTCTGTTTTAATAGCTCTGCAGACATGGCAAGTTGTAAACTCAGCCTCCTTATCTCTGAAGTGTAATAATGCATCCCTCACAAGCTTACGAGGGACTCATTAAATGAGTCATTTGTGAAGTGTTTAGGATGGTGCTTTGTGAGACTACATAAGCTTTAGATAGGTTAGTAAATTAAAAAATGGTAATAGGCTCTTTAAATAATAGAACTCCTTTATAAATGAAATACACAGTCAGTCAGCTTTCCCCCCAATGTGAAGAGTACTTGTCTCCTTTTCTGGGACTGCAGAGGCTAATGGTCTTCTCTTGTGATCCTGACTTGGGGTAGCTGAAGTCTAGCTGGATCCCCTACCTGAAGTCGCCCAACAGCACAGCCAGGGCTTAGGCCCCAACCCAGATGCTATGGCTACAAACTCCATGTTTTTAGGTTCTGCCAACCTGCTTGAAATCATGAGAATATGGAATTGATAATGGACTATTCTCTGCCAACTGAAAAACCCAGAAAGGCCTTCTGTTCGTTGTTCTTTGTGTAGTCGGCTTGATTAAGAACTTTCAGTGGGCCTTTTGCATGGTAGTCAGGGTTATGGAGGCTGCTTCTTCCCCTGGCACACAGTTCCTAGCCATCAACATGGGCTGCTGTCCACTGATTTTAGAACTTGGAATTTATTTACTTTCCATGTCATTCTAGTAGTAGGTTGCTGTTATTAATACAAATGCTTCATTCTGACACTACAGTTTATTTGTCCTCTTTCTTCATAGTTGTTTTTTAAACTTTCTGTATACTTCATTCCACTGTAGAGATCCCCAGTATTCATATCCTGAACCTGCTCCCCGGGACTCAAGCACGTATCTGAGATTTCACCAGATTGGCTATCCCCCTTCTCAGTGAATCTCAAGAACCCATTTATGGCAGATTATCTCCTTGTTAAGTAGATTTTCTCTGTGTAATGGAGTCAAACAGGATTTA